AAAGATGCCTCCTGAGAGCTGTCTGGATGTTATTCACAGAAATCTTCATCTTAGTGTGCATTATCAAGCCTTTCTATCTAGACCTAGTTCAGCCAGTGATGAAATAGAACATCATCATTTTAAAGATAAATATATACTGTTACTTGTTTACAAAAGTCTTTCAAAAATAGCAATTTTTTGAGTCTTCTAGTTATGAGATTAATACATGTACATTGTGTACATGTACATATACAGTCTTGAAAAGTAAGAAGAAAAACTTTAATTGCCAGAATTCCACAACCCAGATATGTCCTTTCCATTAATAAAATTTTATTGCAGAGCGATGCTCCATTCAGTGAAGTCATTCTAAAAGGAATCTGACTCTTTTCCAGGAGTTCCAGATCGCACCAAAGTCACCATGAATTCACTCAGTGAAGCAAACAACCGATTCGTGATTGATCTGTTCCAACAGTTGAGAAAAGAAAATGAGGACAACATCTTCTTTTCCCCTTTCAGCATCTTGTCAGCATTAGGGATGCTCTTATTAGGGGCCAGAGAAAATACTGCACTACAAATCAAGCAGGCAGGTGTCAGCTTCATTATGTTGATCTGTTTGCACTTTTCCCTTTGTCTCTTTGTCAGCGAGCATGCAGATGGCAACAGATCTGCTGGCCTGATGGATAGCACAAGGGGCTGAGCGGGCATTCCCGTGACTGTGTGAGCACAGAGCTGTGGGGGAGGCACACCCTTCCCAAATGTTTGCCCATCTGCTTCCTTGTGCCTCGGCTCCCTTTGGGAGCTGGACGGCCTCCTGCAACTTCCCAACAATCAGATGAATTTAAAATGGGAAGACTATGCTGGAAGCGATGTATTGACTTAAATCTCAGGGAAACTTTCACCATTAGATGTTTCCTCAGCGATGAATGAATGAGGATTCTTTGAAGTGGCTGGTGATAAACCAGCTGTGTTTTTTCAAGGAGCAAACTCTTACAATGAAGTTTTGGGGATTTTTCTCCATTTATTGTTTTTTTGTCTGGGTGTCTCATTTTCTTTTTGTTTCCTTTGATTTAGACAGATCTTTTGAGTAAAGTTTTCTTGTCCCCCGTCCTGTCTCTTCCAGGTCCTTCACTTTGATGCAGTCAATGAAGTCACAGAGAACACAACAGAAAGAGCTACAACATATCATGTGAGTCATAGAGCACTTCAGTCCAAAGAGCTTCAGCTACCTGAGAAGGTCATAGTTTAAACAGAAAATTTCACATAAACTGAGAAAAGGCTATTTTTAGGGGAAATCCTAGAAAAAAAAGTTGCAACATACAGAGTGACTTCACATTTCATGTAACATAATTATTATTTTCACATTTTTGTTTTACTGAGAGAAGGTCAGCATTGTACTCAAGAGCATACATCTGAGCCAGATAGGTTGGGTTCAAATCCCAGCTCTGCTCTTTGCAAATGATGAACATGGGAGAAATATTGCTCTGAATCACAGTGACCTCATCCCAAGGAACAAGGGATTAAGGAGAATCTGTCCCAATGCATACAAACACATGCAGACATTTATAATAGTGCCTGGCCTAGAGGAAGCCATAATAAATATTATTTATTATTATTATAAAACAACAACTACTGTAGTAATCACAATACTGTTGCTAAAATAAGTTAATTTTAATTAATTCATTAATGAGATCAAGAGGAATGACACAAGTCCAAGTATATTTTGGAAAATTATTGCTATGAGATATATTGGTTTAGATTCTTAATAGTGCAAAACTCTTAGCTAGCAAGTAGAAGGCTCTAGATTTAAACAGGCTCAGGTTCAAAACTTGGCTCTGTTAATTTATAGCTCCTTAGAGAGGTTAATTATCTGAGCTTTCTTGTTTTCATCTAAATTGGACTAAAGACTTAGAATTTCTGACGTGAAGCCCTTAGCTGAGTACCAGGTACACAATGGTCTTACATGCAGAGAATGACCATCACAAAGGAAAAGCCATAGATCACAGTCGATGTGTCTTAGGGGGTATAACAACAGGGCTTCATGTCATAACATATTTAAAATATCCGAACTTCAATATAATCATGTCCTTGATGGCTATTAGAAATGAAATATGGGTCTTGCCCTTAACAAACTTAAAGTTTATCTGGAAGCTGAGCAAT